CGTGGTCTGGTTGCGAGCTTCCCTGCAGCCCCGTGCTTCCCCTAAGCCTCGTGCTGACCGAACCCGACACCCCCAAGATTTCCAAACATGAAGAAAAACTTTCCCACCATATCAGAAAACAATGAAATTGGGGAAAATATTTTGAATATTCCAAAAAAAAAAAAATTACCCACTGTCACTAGATTTATTTTGACACAATGAATTTCTATGGACATTGCATCAACATCAATATGCTATGTTCTAAGGCACTGTGGATACAAATGAACCACATATACATTCATATTCAGAAAACCTGGGTGTGCTTCCATTTGAGAATACACATTTCTAGTCTATTTATAAACAAGCTAATAGGTTTTATAAGGCAGCTTTTATTTAAATAAGTCACTGAACCAGACAAGTAAATGATAGCATAACCCAGACTGCCAGTTCATCTAAAAATACAGATAAACAATTAAGTGCAGAGGAACAATGAATAAAAACTATATTGGGATAAAAAAATATAACAAATTCACAGTTTATCAACTTTCTAAAAAGAAAAATACATAAATATGATAGGTAATGATAAATAATCATCTTGTAATTGTTAGGGATTATTCAGTTTATTTGGTTTAAACGTTGATAAATGGCCTAAAGAATGTTATCATTTCAGTACATTTTACAGTTCAGCAGCCATTTCCTCCATCATATGATTAAACTGTGTTCATACATCTGGAAAAATTACTTGCTTCATAATACTTTAAATAGAAATCAAGGAATATTAGAAATCATTTCCTTTCCATTCTTTGTGTGATGGAATGTATCTATGAGGAGGAGAGTGATGTGGGAGAACAAAACTATCAGGAGGGAGCGGGTGCATTCCAGACGGGGAAAGGAGATAAGAGACAAGGCAGTCCTCAAGGGGAATGTGGGAAGCAAAAGAGGTTCAGGATAGCTACTCCCTAGAATCTCCCAGGGTATATTCATTGCATAGATTTAGTTTGGCAAGATTCTGTCTATAAGGTGTAAGCAAATAAAGGAACTATACTTGACTGGACTGTTTCACTGTTGTTCGTGGGCTGGGTCTCATGCTTTGGTCTATAAGTAACAAAGACTGAAATTACTCCGCAAACTCCAATTAATGAACTGTTCTTGTCATATTAAATCCAACTTAGAAGTCTTATTTGAAAATTAAATAAATTCAATAAGAAAAATAAATTCAACAAGATTTTTTTTCAATTAAGTATGTTTAATATTGCAACACTAATAAAATCCTATCAATTCCTATCACCATCATGGAACTTCATCAAAATGTCAAATACTCACTTTGAAAATCTATAAAGTGAAGTCTACTTTTACCAGACCTCCATGTAATGGATTTCACACAGAGGACTAAGTTTCTATTGTGATTTACACATTTGCTTCATAATGTTGTATCATCACCCAAATGACATAAATTCTGCAATGCCCCATTCACCAATTCAATAGACTGTCCTCAATAGTGGAGAACCCCTCCTCACATTAGTCCATTAAAACGCAATTTCACTATATTTAATCACATATTAAATGTGGTTAAATGCTACAAACATGACACTTTGTTGCAGATAAATACAGAGATTTTGATTTATGTGAGTAAAGTGTGATTTTTTTTTCCTCTATTGGTTTTATCTTCACCCAAATGTCACTCCCAGAAAAGGAGCTTTTTAAAAATCAATGCAGCGTCCTTTTCGTTCCCAATCTCCATAACGAGTTGGTTCCGGGCCTCTGGGACCACCCTTCTCTTTTGTCATTGGATTGATATCATCTGGAAATTCTAAAAAAAGAGAAAATATATACAAAAATGCTAATAAATAGCAGCTCTATTCAAATATCATCCATAGTTTGACTATATGTGATATTCCTTGATTCCATTTGAGAGTTCTCCTTACTGCTGGCACTCAGTTCATCATTAGCACAAGAGCAACAATTGTCCAGCATTTTTGTCTGCTAGTTCTTAATCAATTTGATGAAAGGCAATTTGCTTTTGAAATGCATTTCAAATAAAAGAATTTTGGTGATGTTTTTATGCATGCATGTTTTATTCTTGCATTTACAAAGTTCTGAGGTAGCCAAGGAATACTTGTGAATATCTTGTCTTATACTATACAATAATCTCTTTAGTGGCCTGCAGCCTCCCTGGCTTTCCATGTTTTAATAACATCCAAGGAAAGATGACATGAGGGATGCTTACATTGGGCTTCTTAACATGGGACGTGGGGCCACTCAAGGAAGCTCCAGAGTAAAGGAAAAAAGTGTAAAAGTATTATCAGCTACCACCAGTATTAAAGTAACAATAACACCACCACAAGAATTTGAAAGGAATCATACAGTGCCCTAGGATAAGATAGAACATAGAAACCTATTTCACACAAAGGACATTTTTGCAAAATTAGAAGCCAGATTCTGGCACAGCCTTATTTATTATATAGGCCAAATTAATTGACTGCCTACTTGTTCTACCTTTACCAATGAGAATAAAACTACCATGATACACCCAAGTAGAACTCAAATGGTATGGTAGTTTGATATTATAGGGGGTTTGAGGTCTCGTTTAGGCATAAAAGCCAGCTTTGGACTTTGGGCCTGTCACTCTCTCGCAGCCCAACCTACCTCACAGGGTTGTCATTAAGGGGAAAATAGAAGGCAAGAGTATTACATATGTTCGCTGCCTTGAGTTGAATGAATACACACACACCCCCACACACACCCCCACACCTGTCAACTTCCAGTTTCAACATGACTAGTTCCCCTTAAGAGGTAATGAATTTTTCTACAAACTATGCTGAGATTATTAAAACATTGAGATTAGCTTAAATTTTCCCAATATCAGAACACATCAAGTGACTTATCTAAAAACAATTCAAATTATTAATATAACATAGAATTGTAATAAAGGAATAGAGCAATATTTTGATTCAAAACGTATATAACAGACAGACAGGATATGGCTAGAATCACACATCATACTAAATTACTTGTTGAATAAGAGTTTTATGTTTAACAAAGATACGAGTCCATAAAAATAAATTAAACTTCTGTTTCTGACTTAAATCCAGGAAAAACAGCTTTTGCTAACTTCAGATAAAAGACTTAACAAAAGACTGGATATTATAAATTTATAGGAAGTTCTACAAGCAATAGCATATGGGAATAAACCATTTTAGGAATGGTTCCCAGGTTACACAATTACTTAATTATAGGCTTTTTAGGACAATCTGTAATGAAAAAAAAATATCCATGGGTAGCAACTGACAAGCACACTAAAAAAATAAAGTGTAAACTTATTAATTTATTATGCTCATTCCTAACTTTTTGTGACACCACACCTGCATGACACATTTGCCCATGACTCAAGGGACAGAGATAAATCTGAGCCAACATATTTTGCTGTACTTCAAAAGAACAGCATTTTTAAAGTAAATTATATTAGAAAATTCAAAGTTATTCTAAATAAGTGATTTAGCTACATGAAGCTAAATCTAACTGTAGCTTCATAGCATACATTATGTAGTTTCCTTGAACTGAAATAGAAAAACTCAAAGTTAATGATGTGCATTTTGTCTAAAACACTACATATCACAGAATATAATTACTTAATTGTATATTCATAATATTTAAGCAATAAAAGGTATTTGGAAAGTCAAGGAAAAAGTGTAAAGTAGCTAAAGATTTAATGAGACATCATGTAGGAATTCTGTCTTGTTAAGAGATGGACATAAAAGAAAAGTCTAGCTCAGAGTTACAAAACATGAAAAATCTAAATGGAGAATATATGGGACATAAATATTTTCAATTTCTCACTCAAAATCTTTTCCAGAAGATTGGATAATCTTCCAGACATAATTCCATAGATTAATTTCCTTTACTACTTCACAAAATACATTTATAGCATTTCAAGACTAGATCTGTTTTAATACCATTTGTTATATTTATATTTTACACACCTGCACTTACTTTCTAGTGGCTCCTTCTCTAGGCTTGATTCTTCTGGCTTATCAAAACGACCTACTGGTGTTTTTGGCTTCTTAAGGGGTTGCTTGGTAGATTCAGTATTTCCTTTTGTACTAAAGCTAGTACTTCCCACAGAACTGCGCAGAAAAGCTGACCCTATTACATATAAATATAAGATTGTTCAAAAGTATGTTGTAGAATTCCTAGATTTCCAATATCCAATGGAAATGGACAAAACCAAAAATGGTTACTACATAAGAAAAGTCTAATATAAATGTGGATGCATACTGAACATTTAAATATAGATTCCTATCTGCGTCAGAGGCCAGTTTAAGAAGGAAGAGGCACAGAGTCAGAAACAGGATGTGCGCTAAAGAGAGTGCATCTTCTTCCCTTCCTGAAAATAAAGCAGGCTGTATATGAGCATCTGCAGGATCACATTAAATATTAATGATCATCTGCAATCAGCATCTCGCTACAGTAACCAGAGCAAGGTTTTCATTGTGATCACAATCTCCAAGATAGACAGACACCAAAGTCTTTCTCTTTGTTGTGGAACTTTACAACTAGACCACATTTGTAGCAGGGCTAACTGCTGTTTTGAAATTCCATTAGTGCTAACTAGAAATGGAAACTACTCCAGATCTGGGCATCTTTAATATGACAGAAACCACATACCACATTGTGGTTTACGGGGTCATGCAGGAGATAGTCCCCAATAGCAATGTATGTGGTACCCTTAAATCTACCAGCGTGCTCAGAATTCTGTTCCACTACATATAATACATTTTTCTTCCAAAAAGAAGTATTCATATGTATTGTTTTTCTTTTTTACCTATAAGCTGCCCAGAGTCATCAAGAAGTCTAGCAGTCTTGAAACTGGATAAAATAAATAAATATTTCTTCTACAACTCTCTCTCCTTTATGCACCTTTCTTGCCAAATGTGAGGTAAGTCAAGAAATAGCATATTTTTGAGTACAGATCCATCAATAATTCACTTCCGGCTCCACAATTCCACTTAAAAAAAAAAAATCCAACCTCTCTGTTTCACAACCCAATTAGAGAGAACAACTCTTTCAACAGACTAGTGGAACAACGCTTGTTAGTAAATATAATTTTATTGGGAGGGGGGAGAGGAGGAAACGATTGTGTAGCTAGTTAAAGGAATGAATTTGAACTTCATGAAAAGTCTACCTGGCCAAGGTAGGGACGCAAAGATAGCGGAAGAGAGTGAGGTTGTATATATCCACATACCTCAGAATAACTCCGATTAAGTACGTGGGACTTACTCCTAAGTATGTAGAAATGTACAGTACTGTGCAAGCGAGGCGCAGAAATTGAGGCTTCAGCCAAAGAATGGGAACAACGTGAAAAAAAAACGCGCTGCCCCCTTTATGAGCGACGCCGCCGAGAGGACAAGGGGTCCCTGCACGAGACGGTGAGCGCCGGCAGGGCACCTCACAGCCCAGGCAGAGGATGCAATACAGGGCTGGCCTCTGCAGCATCTGCCCCCCTAGAAAGGCACGGGGCTGGCCTACCGGCTCTTCCGCCTCTCCGGTACTCGCGGCCCCCCCGCCTCCAAACTCCGCTCCCCGCTTACTGGTTTGTCCGCCGGCGGGGAAGAAAGCACGGCCCTGCTGGAGCGACAGCCTCAGAGCCATTTCCTGTCGGGACCAGCGCCCACTCTCCGTCCTGCGGCTGCTCTCCGCGCCTCCGATGGCCCAGCGAAGCGGGCGGCGCTTGTCCAGGAAGCCCCACCTCCCGCCCGCCTCTTTCCCTCCGGCCTCCTGACGGAGGAGGGCTGCTCGCCAGCCTTCTTGGAAAGCTGCCCTTTAGAGCTCTCTGCCGCTTTTGACAAAGAACGTTGTACTTTATTTAGAGGAGATATAGAGGAGGTCGGATTCTGATTCGGTTCTGTTCTGGACAAGGCAAGAGACTGGATGGCAGGGAACGTGGGTCTCCGCGGGATTTTTCGCCGAGGTAGAGCTGCAATGGAGACTAGGATCGTGATCTGTTGCTGCAACATACCATACAGACTAAACAATACGTAGTATTTTTTAACGACACCCTTTCCTATTTTTGACAACGTCCCATGAAGCAGTCTAAAATGGGAACGTGAGAAACTGTCGTAAGTTGGGGCATCACTTTGACTTACAGTGCTAGGTCCTGCCTGAGCAAATTAAAAGATTAAGGTTCTCGAAGTCTACTTCCACTCTTAGTGGCTACATGGATACCTCGATGCGGTCTTCTTGGCAACGCTACAGATCTGTTTTGCCACTTCAAGGATGTTTTTAAAACGTCCAAATCATTTTTAGAGACCTCGGATTCCCTGGAGGTTTCATCCAAAGTCTGACATCACCCTTAAGGCACTATTTTGTCTCAGATATGCTAAGATGAGGTTTGCCAAATACCTGAATTTCACACATGCAAAACCTAACCAACCACATTATGGTTTAACATGATGATCAAATTCAGGCAGTGACTCAAGTGTGGTAGGGTAACCTAGTCTGAGGCTTAGTGTGTTGTGCAAATGCAGACAAATGATGAGATACTAAATTGGGGAACCTGTCTGCACAACAACTGGCCTTCAGTGCACTACAGCTTTTCTTTTGTTTTCAAAAGAAGGGTGAACACTCTATAAAGCCAGTCTTTAGGGACCATCTCTTGCCACAATGGTGGAATGGAGGGACGTGCATATACTGGTCATGATTTGGGGCTCATTTTATTTAAAACACTTGTACTTAAAACTGCACAAAGGCTAACACGTTTGTTCCTGAAATTGCAGATTTTATGTCTGTACAACTCAGTAAAAGCAAAAATAAATAAATGATAGTAATAGGAAGCAGGGCTATAGTTCTGGAAATTTTGGTGACTCAGTGGCCTGGGCATCAGATTTACCAAAACAGAAGGATCTGACTTTGAGAATAAGAATAATCTCTCTCCAACAATTTGGGACCGAGAGAAAATGATTCCATCTGAAGCTAAAATCAGTTAAGGGTTGAATCCAAGAGATTTCTAAAAGAAAGTCTACAACAGTAGAGTCTAGTGCTGCTATGTTTACTTCAACTACATTCCCTAAAAGTAAAAACTATATCGCAAGAGACTGGGAAACAGTAACATTACTTTGCAGGTTGTCATATATCATTGTGGCTCTTCCCTTCAACAAACACAGACACAACAACATTGGATTATTCTAGTGTAATCGTTGCCCAATCATACCTAAAATGAACTCTGTGATTCCTCTATTTTTAATTAAATAGGATAGCAATAATCTTCCCACCGGGGAAAATTAGGTGTAAGGTTAAGCTCTTTCTGTGAAAATTAAATCAGAAACTTTTCTCTATTCAGTGGTTATGTTCACATAACTTCAAGGTTAATTAAACCACATTTTACTAAATTCATCCAATAGCCTAGATTTACAAGACACACTGAACCATAATTTAATCACACTGACTGGGTTTGTACAACACTGAGACAATCACATTTTAGCAGAATATGATACAGCAAAGTTTGTCAGTCATTGCCAAGTCTGATTGTTGACTGAAAAGCAGGAACAGACTTTTTTTTTGCAAACTGAACTGGTAGAAAAATGGTTATACTGTAGTTTTTATCTTATATCCATTTCTAGAATGCTAACGACATGCTTTCTTTTATGGGGAAAAATGGAAATCTTGAGATTATGACCCATCCAGGATGGGTCAGTTAGCCATTCTCTGTATGGGGAAAGTGATTTGAGGTCCTTACAGAGATTGATAGTGTACCCAAACTCTATTGCAGGCTGAATGATTGGTAAGAGCTCTGTAGATTGTAAATCAGGGTAGCACAGAGCACTCACTATGACTCCTTGATATACTTTTTCAAATGCACTGCCAATCTTCAGGGATGATAAAAGTGGGAATGCTTTTCTTCCCCTCCAGTTTATGTTTATAACTCTAAACTTAGAAGAATTATGGAATGACATCAATTTTGAACTTAATATACAAAGGGTAGTGATTCTGGATGAAATATGAGACTATGACATTCTTCTCTAAACTATTTTACTTCTGTGTTGGTATAGTAACATAATCTACAGCATGACTAAGACTTACATTCCTATAAGAAGGAACTTATATAGCAGCACTTTATTTAAATAAATGCCTAGAATATACTGGGTGGGCTACACCAATTTATTAAATTCCCTAATTTGAGGGGCTTTTTTTTTTCTTCTGATGATTATGTGGATATAACCCAGTTTTATAAGAATGAAGACTGGTTTAAAAACTTCTGTGAAAGGAAGCAGGTGGATGAATAAGTAGCTCAGACTGAAAAAGCAGAAATAAAGCTAGGAATCCATAATAATTACTGAAAAGAACCTGAAATCTAAAATGCAGTTAATAAGACCTTTTTATATCAGTTTCTTATTTACTGAATCCAAAAATAAATTTGAAAAATATGACATTTTACAGAAAGTACTCTCAGTTTGGACACCATAGAAGTCCGTATGTCCAAGTACAGAAATATTTTAAATTAAAAAAATAATTTAAAT